AACTAAATACAATATAAATATATGGCAGGTAATTGTTATTAACTTATCTATAATAGAATTGATGAAGAAATCAATACATCAGATTAGAAATAATAATGGAGCCATGTGAAATAAAAAATAATTCTTCCTGGCATTAAAAGAACAATTCATTACTCTTTAAATAAATTATTAAGTGTTTGGGAGAGAGGTTAACCAAACTGAATCATTCTTGGGCATTTGATAGCAATGTTATTCTTTTAAAATTTATTTTTGTTAATTTCAGTAATCTCCAGAAAGAAAAACTTAAAATAAGCATTGAATTTTTATCCCACTTTTTAAAAGAAACAAGCCAAGAGTCCCACAGACAAAATACCCAACCAAGAAGAAAATCAGCAGAGAAAGGGTGAACCCAAGCTTTTGCATCTGTATGTTCTACACGTAAAGAACAAGTCAACAGAAAAGGCTATCAATTCATAAACAATGTATGGAAAGTCTATATAAGGAATGACTCAGAAAATTTCAAAAACATTAGAAAGGACTACTAAATGATAAATATTTAAACTTTAATAGTGCAGAAAACACTAAAATATTATAATAAAATGAAAACTAATTTGAAAATATTGTTTTCTGTAAGCTAACAGAACTGGCTTAGCCTGATAGGGGAGAACAAAACTTAGGTAGGCAGGGAAAACTAGATGGTGTGCTGGGAGGAAGAAAACAGAGTCAAGGGACTCATGTTATGGACCTGCTGCCAGTGATAGACATGCTTTGCCTGTAAGCCACTGACATGTGGCAATACACAGATTAATAAAAATGGATTAAATTAAGATGTAAGACTTTTCCAAAAAGAAGGTAGAGCTAATGGGCCAAGCAGTGTTTTAATTAATACAATTTCTGTGTGGTTATTTCGGAGATAAGTTAGCCAGGCAGCCGAGACAATCAAGCGGGCCTCCTGTTACAGCTAGATTCAGAATTTATACCAAATCCAGGAATATTATTCAAAATACAATTGTATTTAAAAATAAAAGCATAAAATTGTGTCCGACTTTTTTATTCATTGGGAAATTTGTTTTTAAAGATATATATTGTGCATAGAAATAAATTAAGTTCTAAAATTATATGACTTTATGAGGATTTGCCAAACCTGAGACTATATTGTAGTGACATGAAAATCAAGTTATTATTGCTGAAAATGTAAGTTGTAAAAAGAATGAATTGAAGGTTAGAATGAATACTGTGATGTTTGTATTTGAGTCAAATCTACAGTACAAAGTCATGTCTCATAGTACATGTATAAAAGAAAAAAACCCATGAGTATTAATGCCTATATGTGTGTAGAAAATACACCATTTTTTACTCTAGTCAGCTGAAGAGATTTTTAAAAACTGAATTAAACTGTATAGTGATGAATACACCTGGGGCTTAGATCTTGAATTCTAAATGTCATTCCAAAAATAAATAAAACTACAAAAGAACTCAATGTCCTTGGAGGATTAGCTAATTCTAGTTCCGGGTCAGGATGAGCTAGAATGTCTGATGTGAGAAAAGAAACCATGAGCTTCTAAAACAGTAGGAACACATACCCATATGAAGGGAACAAATTATAAGAAGCTCCTGTGACTAAATGTTTCACATTGTACAATACAATAAATAATGACAATAATGGACTATGAAATGTAAAACAAAATAACTGCTCATGGCCTTTGATGATGCTAGTAATAATAGGTAAGCAATTGCAAGAGAAAGCTCCACTGTACCTTATGGTAGTATTTTAGTCAATATGTGTAGGATGAATAATGACATTATTGAATCTATTTGAAAGTTAGAGCAGTTTTAAATGTCATAGGTGTGACTCACTGATGATTCTAAAATAATGGAGGGGTGTGATGGAAAACTTTTGTATAGTTTTACAGTATACCTTTAAAAATATTAATCCGAAAGGGACGAACTTGAAAGGCTAAGTAATTATGCATATTAAAATCATTACTATCACAAGTGATAAGTTGAACTAGAATAGAACAGTACCACAACCTCCTGATGCAGTGGATTGAAAAGGGACAACATCATTGTGGAGGTACTGTAGGCTGTTATATTGCTGTTATATATTATATATTATATTGTTATATATTGCGGAGGCATTACAGGACTGTAACAAAACCCGTAGGTAAATTCAGACTCAAGGACACTCAAGTGGTTAGTGCTCTTTCTCTCTTTAAATTAAGGTATAATTATATAATTTTCTATTTTCCCTTTACTCCCTCCAATCGTTCCACTGTACCCTCTTTGCTCCCAACTGGACTCATGAATGGGCTATCTCCATCAAATCCATTCTCTCAGGGCTCAGAGAACTCTGCAGAAGAGGAGGTGGGAAGAATGTAAACCTAGAGTAAATGGAGTACACTGAAATATCAAGGTCTTCTAGACACAACAGAGTTAGCAAAAATATAAACTCAGAGAGACTATGGCAGCATGTGCAGGGCCAACAGGGGTCTGGACCAAATGGGGTCTTAGACCTGAAATGAGGACGGGACACAGGCTCTTCTATAACCCAGAAGCTATCCCTCACTGCTAGCAGCTTGCAACCTAAAAATTTGTTTTCTCTAGAAAAGTCTCATTAGGAAAACAAACCCTTAAGAAAAGGCCACAAATCTGTTGCTTGATGACCAACACAAAACAAAGGCAAAGGCATATTTTGAGGGATTTTTTTTCTCTGATAATATTAATTAGGGGTGTTTTTTTTTTAAAAAAAATCATTACAGGTCTTTGCATATATATTATAGCTTCTGATTTGTTTTTTATGGGGGGGATTATTTAATTTTATTTCTTTGGGTGACATACGGCCATCTTCATCCTAATATGTAATATACTATTTCTTCTTTTAACTTTTAATTTTTTAAAAAGGAAACAAACTATCTTTTTTATTTTACATACCAAACCCAGTTTTTTCATTCTCTCCTTCTCCCATTCCCTCCACCTTCTCCCCCAACATGCCAACCCTCATTCACTCTTCAAGGAGGATAAGGCGCATTGCTTTGTGGAAGGTCCAAGGCTCTCCCTGTTGTATCTAGACTGAGCAAGGTATCCACCTAAAGGGAATGGGTTCCCAAAAATCAGTACAAGTAGTAGGAATAAATTCTGGTGCCACTGCCAGTGGCCCTACAGTCTACTCCAGCCATGCAACTGTCATCTACATTCAAAGGATCTAGTTTGTTTCTATGCTGGTTCTTTCCCTGTCTGGCTAGAGTTGGTGAGCTCCCATTAGTTCAGGTAAACTGTTACAATGGGCATCCCCATTATATTCTTGACCTCTTTGCTCATATTCTCACTCTTCCAACTTTTCAACTGAACTTTGGGAACTCAGCCCAGTGCTGCACTGGATTTCCCTGCCTCTGTTTCCATAAGGTGCTGGATGAAGGTTCTATGGTGACATTTAAGATATTCATCAATCTGACTACAGGACAAGGCCAGTTCCGGCAACTTTTCCTCTATTGCTTAGGATCTTAGCTGGTATCATCCTTGTAGATTCCTAGGAATTTCTCTAGTGCCAGGTTTCTTGTTAGCCCCATAATGATCCCTCAATCAAGATATTTCTTTCATTGCTCTCCAACACTGTCCTTCCTCCATCTGGACTATCCTAATTGTGTTCCAGGAAAAAAAATCAAATACACACTCAAAAACGCATATACTTTTAATAAAATATTAAATCCATTTAAATTTAATAAATGATTGAATCTTATTTCTAGAGGAAAGACCATAAAAATATGGACAAACTATGCATGTTCTATATTATAAAGCATATGAAGTTTCAGTGAAAAAAATAACCCTTGCTCTATATGAACAGAAAGTAACAAGCAGAGGAGGGTCTTAACAATTTCTCATAAGCATCATCATTCCTCAATAGTAATGAAATGGAAGTTGGCTTCTGATAATCAGAAACAATCCAAAACAATTGAACTTTGTGCTTTTGTCCTGCCAGGGCACTTGGAATGAAATTAAACAAGTAAAGTATTCATTATTGTAAACAAATTACATTTTTATATTACTAACATAAATGCAGAATTATCTCACATTAAATAATGAAGTTTAATCAATTGTGAGTAAATATACAAAATTGATTTTTTAAAATATAAGCTAAGTACTTATTTTAGGGAAATACGATTACTATTCATAAAACTTCAAACATATCTAATTATATTTAACAACATTTCTTTTTTATTTTCATAGCAATTTTGTTCATGTTTAACATAAATTATTTTATTGAATCTCTGGTAATTTTACATCATTCATCGTAATTCCACTTAGCTGTCAGTTCCTCTATGCCCTCTGCTCACCCCTGCAGTGCCCCGATAGGAAATATAATAGAAAAAAGTCAAACCAAACAAAACCAAGTAAATAAACAAACAAAAAGAAAAAGATAACGTTTCTTACCATAATTATTTAAGGAAAAATAATTTACAACATTAAATATCTTATCCCCTGGAAATTTAAATATGTAAAGATTTCATTGTTGCTAGTAATCTTAAATTCTCTATTAAAATTTTATTTTTCTTTGCTTATTTGGTTTTGTTTTAAAGTCACTCAGAGAAATTTATCAGTTAATTGTACTGTCAAATGTATCCACATTTGCAATAGACTTAGACATACAATCTGAAACAAAGTCGATTGCCTCCACTAACTTTGCCTTCACTACTTATAGTTATATGCTAATTAAATGTCTTCCACTGTCACGAAATTGGAACCTTTCATTTTTGTCAACACAGTTACTTTCAGGAACTTCTTTTTCTCCAAACAGTTTCATCAAAACTCTCTGCTAACACCTTTTATATCACCAATTGATGAACCACTACACTAAAGGGGCTAGTTTTCTGTTTCTTCTCTCATTGTGAATTCTTCGAAGACCCTGGCCACTGCAGTTAAGTACCCTCAACTATAACAATCTGTAGCTTGCCTTGGATATTCGAAAAGGACTAAAATTGCACCAGGGAAGTCATCAAAATCCTAGATGATAACATCAGACTTACCTCCTATGTCTGGACGAAGTTTGTTATCATAACCTTGAAGTAATGAATTGAGAATTTGTGTGATATCTCCTTCATGAATTTTTGGTGCCAAAACCCATGTTTTATTCATGGTTAAATCTTCATCATCTTCATCATCCGCTTTATCAACACTAAATGATTCAAAGAGAACATTATATAGTAAAAGTTCCATCAAAATCTTCTCAATTAAACTATATAATTTATTTCAGAATTATTCTAACATATAGTAGTATGATCATATATAATGCTTTAAAATTTATTAGCCGATAAAATAAATACATCAAAATCAAAAATTAATAAGCATGCTAAAGCAAATATTGAGGATTTTCTGATTGTGAGATCAATAAAGGGACAGTGCCTTATTAATATATGTTAAGGGAATGCAGAGAACCTGACATCTAAATATTAAGAATTTAGTTTCTAAGTAAGACACTGAATAATGAAGGAAACCAGATAAACATAAGTCTCCTTACCCACAAAACTGGGGACACAACTACAACAGTCTAGGTAATATTTTAATGTTTCCTTCCCAGCTTTATTCTTTTAAACTCATTTATTGATTCTTATTGTTTCTATTTAATTTTATAAAGTATATTATAAAACTTTGCAAATAAGTAAACATCACACTTCGTAGTTAACAAGACTTAAAGTCAATACAACTCAATGAATTTATATAGTGTGAACCATCACTGAGAACAGAGGCTGTGCAGCTTCACGTTAAATTTTACCCTTTCAGCAACATACATATTTTATTCATTTATCCACCACCAAAATCAAAACTAAAAACTCCAAGACAGAATTAGAATTTGAAAAAAAAAGCTGACTGTATATCTTTTCTTCTAACTCATGCTTATTATTACTACATTCAGTCCTTACTCATCCCCTTACATTTAACTTTTTGTTTTCTCTTTTCTTCATGCTATATTGTACCCATATGTATATTTGCTTACATCTATAGATAGAAACACAGAATAGATTAAAATACAATTTTTTTATCACATATATTGATTGTATCAGCTATTTTTTACAGTACAAAGAGATGAATAATACAATAAATCAAAGCTTAATTTAAAAGAACTTTATTTCTTAGCTTATCTCCTCAATAATTCTGATATGTTGAGCATATAATGACTTGGGTTTTTTCATTCTTATCAATGTCCATTCTTCTCTATGGAAAAACACTTATCAGCCCACTGGCTTCTGACTTGGCCATCCTTTCTGCAAGAGGATTATACAAACCTTGGCCTCTTAAACTCATATTTGACTCTTTAAATGGTTTTGAAAAATATTTATCATTGCCAAGCAGAAAGTCTAATATCATATTAATTTACCATGCAGGTGATTAGTCACATTTAACCTCACTCCATCTGTTCAGTCCAAGAATGAGAGTGGCATGGGAAAGACACACTTGAACTATAATAATCAAGTAGCCTAAGTTTGAAAGTCACAGATATTTCATGATATCTTTACATATCTAAAGTTTCTGTACAGAGCTAAACAGAGAGCTCTCAACAAAGGAATCTCAAATAGTTGAAAGGCACTTAAGGAATTGCTCAACATCCTTATCTATCAAGAAAATGCAAACCAAAACAACTCTGAGATACTATCTTACACCTGTCAGAATGGCTAGGATCAAATCCACTAATGACAGCTTATGCTGGAGAGGATGTGGTATAAAGAGAATACTTCTCCATTGCTGGTGTGAGTGCAAACTTGCACAATCACTTTGGAAATCGGTATGGTGATTTCTCAGACAACTGGGAATTAATCTGCCTCAAGACTCAGCAATTCCACTCTTGGGAGTATACACAAAGGATGTTCAATCATACCAAAACAAACAAAAAAAATTTGCTCAATTATGTTCTATGTACAAATAAGTACAATTATTACTTATTTATAATAGCCAGAACTTAGAAACAACCTAGATGCCCCTCAACCAAAGAATGGATAAAGAAAATGTACATTTACACTATGGAGTCAGCAGTTAAAAAAAAAGACATCTTGAATTTTGCAGGCAAATAGATGGAACTAGAAAAAAAATCCCAAGTAACGTAATCCGGACCCATAAAGACAAACACTGTGTGAACTCGCTTATAAGTAGAGATTAGATATAAAGCAAAGGATAACAAGACTACAATACATAACCCCAGGGAAGCCAGGAAACAAGGGGGACCCTAAGAGAGACATAAATCGATACCCCATGGGAAAGGGAAATACACAAAATCTTCAGAGTAAATTGGGGAGTGTGGTATGAACATGTAAAGGGAGTGGGGACAGGAGACGGGGAAGGAGACCATGAGTGATTTGTAACTTTGAGTTGGGGGAAGTAAAGAGAAGGAGAACAAAGAAAGAGATATCTTGATAGAGGGAGCCATAATTGTGTCAGCAAGAAACCTGGCCAGAGAAATACCCAGAAATCTACAAATATGACCTTTGCTAAGAATCTAAGCTATAGTGGAGAGGGTGCCTTTACTAATCCTTCCCCCTGTAAACAGATTAATGACTACCTTAATTGTCATCATAGAACCTTATGCAGTAACTAACAGAAGCAGATGCAGAGATCCCCAGATAAGCATTGGGGTGAGCTCCTGGAGTCCAGTTGTAGAGAGGGAGGAGTGGTAATATGAGCAAAGTGGTCAAAACTATAATAGAGATACCCACAAAAACAGCTAACCTGAGCTAGTGAGATCTGACTCTAGGCGGAGAGCTCAGGAACCTCCCTAGGACCAAACCAGGTCCTAGGAATGTGGGTTACAGTTGTGTGGCTTGGGCAGTTTGTGGGGCCACCAGATATGGAACCAGTATTTATCCCTAGTGCATGAACCTGCTATTTAGAGCCCATTCCCTATGGATGGATATCTTGCTCAGCCTAGATACAGGAATGAGGGAACAAGTCCTGCTTTAAGTGATGTGACAAACTTGGTTGATTCCACGTGGGAGGCCTCACCCTATCTGAGGAGTGGACTTGGAATTGATTTGAGGGAGCAAGAGGAGGAGAGGGAGAGAGAACTGGGATTGATATGTAAAATAACAAAGGTTGCTAAAAAAAATGCATTTTCCTATTTTATTTATAGGAAAGTCTGTTTGACTTTTATTTCATATTTTAGGAAACAAATGAACATGTGTTATTTACTCTTGCCTCAGGCTGACTTCCTTAAATGCTCATCAGTTTCTCTCACCAAGGCCACAACAAGTAACCAGGCAACCCGAGTAAGCTCTTTGCCCTTTCATTTTATCTCTTTTAAATGATTAAATTCAAATGAATAAAATGTACTTTTTGCACAACATCAAGAAATATCCTTTGTAGAGTAACAGGCAATTGCTAGGCCACAACATTACACTTCTGCCATATTCTCTGTATTCTGTGCATTATAGACCTGGAATAGCCCCAGAGGAATTAATTGTTTGACACACAAAACACAGGTGGTTCTGAGATTCTCACACTTGCCCTGGTCAGTAAAGACAGTTAAATATTATTTAATATTTTTTTCTTCTTTGTCTAAATCAAGTGTTCAAAGGTGTGTGGATTAATATCCAGGCTCTTCTATTTGGTTCCATTGGTCTTCCTGTCAATTTTTATGCCAATACCAGGCTGTTTTCAGTACTGTAGCTCTGTAGTAGAGTTTGAAGTCAGGGATTGTGATGCCTCCAGAAATTCTTTTATTGTACAAGATCGTTTTGGCTATCCTGAATTTTTTGATTTTTCATATGAAGTTGAGTACCATTCTCTCAAAGTCTGTGAAGAATTTTGCTGGGAGTTTGATGGGCATTGGATTGAATCTGTAGATTGTTTTTGGTAAGATTGCCATTTTTATTATATTAATTCTACCTATCAAAGAGCATGGGAGAAATTTCCACTTTCTGGTGTCTTCTTCAATTTCTTTCTTCAAAGATTTAAAGTTCTTGTCATACAAGTCTTCCAGTTGCTTGGTTAGAGCTACTCCTAGATATTTTATGCTATTTGTGGCTATTGTAAAAGATGATGTTACTATGTTTATAGCAGCATTGTTTGTCATATCCAGAACCTGGAAGCAACCTAAATGCCCTTCTACCAAAAATGGATAAGGAAAATGTGGTACTTTACACAATGGAGTACTACACTATGGGAAAAAAAAAATGATGACACCTTGAAAACTGCAGGCAAATGAATGGAGATAGAAAACATGATATTGAGTGAGGTAACCAAGACCCAGAAAGACAATTATCATATGTATTCACTCATAAGTGGGTTTTAAACATAAAACAAAAAAAAACAGCCTACAAATAACAACCCTAGAGAACCTAGACTACAATGAAGAACCTAAGAGAGACATACATGAATATAATCTACATGGGAAGTAGAAAAAAGACAAGATTTCCTGGTGTAGGAGATCCTTCTGTCTATATGTTGCTTTCATTGGTTGAATAAAGAAACTGCCTTGGCCTTTTGATAGTGAAGAACTTAGGTAGGCAGAGAAGATAGCACTGAATTTTTGAAAGAAGAAAGCAGAGACAGAGAACTGTGATGGAGCTGCCGGAATCAGACATGCTGGATCTTTTCCGGTAAGCCATGACATCATGTTCATATATACAAATTAATAAAAATGGGTTAAATCAAGATGTGAGAGTTAGCCAATAGAAGGCTAGAGATAATAGGCCAGGCAGTGTTTAAATGAATAGAGTTTATATGTGGTTATTTCAGATGTAAGCTAGCTAGGTGGTTGGGACAAAAGGCAGGCCCTCTCTCCCTCAACAATTTCCTGAGTAAATTGGGAAAATGGGGACCATGGGAGAGGGTTGAAGGGGAAGGTCGAGGAAGGGAGCAGGGCAGAGAAAAATGTATAGCTCAATAAAACCAATAAAAACTGAAATTAAAATAAACAACTAAGAAGTATATGTTATCTATAAAAAAAGTCAATTAAATACTGCTTTCTTTGTGGTAAACTTTAAAATGAAGATGAAGGCTTTTGGCCGCACTTCAAAGACTCCAATAGCTATCACGAGTACAAAGATAATGTGCCATACAAATGCAGTTATTAGATTTTCACATATTTTATTTCTTGAATTGTTTATAAAATATTCAGTGCTTCTTCTCATAGAACTTTATATTATTTCCTTTAACATTTTCTCACTGTTTTCTCTAAAATAAACA